GTTGCTTTCTCGTCACTCATTCAGAAAGACTGAGCAGGCGAGCGAGAATGCGTGAGTGAGCAGCCACATTGGCGCCTCTGGTGAGCAATTAACGCATTTGTTTGCCATGGCAGTATACGTGAAATATTTCCTGCCCGATTTCCCTCGCATAATTAAAAAAATTATCACTATGTAGTGGACTCACAACTTAGGCGTATTTTTCTTACGCGGTTTCAACTATACGTGGATTATTACCCCGGGGGTTAGGTTACAGTTTCCAATTTCAAACTCAAAATTGTCAAAATTTTATGTCTAGTGCAAACTATAGCATGTTTATATTCAAATTAATTAATATCTTATAAGAATCCCAGCAATGTAAATTATATTCTTCCAGGTCAGTTCAGTGACATTTTATAAGAGAAAAACTTATCCACTCTTAAGGGCAGATAAATAAATATGCAATAGACCTTCAGCACCAACTGTCAAACTTATCACCTCGGCCCCCTCCTTCCCATCCCTCCCTTCCTCCTCCTTCCCCCATCTTCCCAGCCAGGGTTTGGTGGTTTTAGGTTTAAAGTTTTATTTTATAAAGTATCACAGACTAAAGTTAGGAGAATACAATTTGCATTGCTAGAATCCCTGTAAGGCAGTGAATATTTTGAATATAAACATCACATATTTTGCACAAGAGATAAAAATTCATCACCTGTATCACATTACAGTACAGCGATTCCTCGGTTAACGAACGCCTCAGTTAACGAAATTTCGGTTAACGAATTACCTTCCATAAGAATCTTCAACTCGATTAACGAACAAAAATTCGGTTAACGAAATCCTTACGAAATCGTGTCAACATGTTTTCGCCTTCTCACCAGCCAATACAGTAATCGGTTTTAGGACTTAAAATTCATTACATTTGAGTAAATATCAAGAAGGTTGTACTATTCAATAATTTTCCAAGTTTTATATTAAAATTTTTAGTCATTTTAACAATTATTTAACATAATTGAAGTACAGGGAACTAGTTTTTAGCGCGCCAAACAGCCACTTGACTCACCCAGAATGGCGTCAGTTTGTGTCTCAGCTCAGTGGAGGTAGCATCTTGCTTGAGACTCTCTTGAACATAAACTACTTTTACATTTTTACAGTACAATTATTGGTCATTCTGAAATATATTTTACATATTGACAATATATAGTGCAGTGCAGTGTTGATTTAAAGAAAATAATCTTGAATTACACCAAGTGAACTTAAAATTTTATGGGTGAAATGGCAGCATGAAGCATGGGGTGACTTCTCTTTTACCCCTCACTGCCTTCTCTTCTCCCTTTTCCTCCACCCCCACTTCTAATTCCCATCATCATCATCATCAACCAGGAGCCTTCTACATGCACACCTCAAAGTAAGTGTACTTTACTGCATTTATTTTTACTTTGTATGTAATTTTCGGTGAGCTGGAACCAATTACCCAAAATCCCATTGAAACAAGTAAATCACTGTAGGTGCGCTTGATCCAGGTATATGCTGATAACCACAAGAAAACACAAAGTTCCAAGCGCTTTCTTGCAATTCACTTCTTTAGGGGTGAGTACAGGCTAAGGAGTAATACTTGACAAGGGTAATATATACAGTAGAGGAGAGTGAGATCAAGTCCCTAGGGGACAGCAGGTGTCCACAATGTTCCGGTCACAAGGCAGTGACCCTTACTAATCTTCTTCATCAAAAAATTGACCATGCCATCTCTAAGTACAGCAGCTGTCCATAGTCAGGTCATAGGGTAAGATGATTCAACCCTGGTTACAAATCTTCTTAATCATAAAATTATCCAGTTTGTTCATACCATTACTCAAATTCATGTTAACAGATTCGGTATGTCTTATGAGACTGGATTCTGTAATGTTCCTACTGACAATTGAATAACAAGGTAATATGGAGGAGGCATTATCCCAGTCAATGCAATGCTTATTATCTCTCATGAATGAACAGAGCATTGGATTCCTGGCCTGTCCTAACACTATATTTATGCTGTTTAAGTCTAGTTATAAGATATATAGAGATTTAAAGGCGATTTAGGAGTGTTTCTGACTTTACGCGTTTTTTGGCTTTACACGAGGTCCCAGGAACGTAACCCTTGTGTAAGTTGCAAGTCTACTGTATACCGAAAATTTTTGATAATTTTGGTAGCCTCTATATTAAAAAAAAAAATCGTTATATAAAGTCACGATATATCCCGACCCTAATGTATTCTCATATGATTGGCCTCTTATGGTTTATGGTTCATCATGATTAATATAACATCTTCAATAATAAAGAAAAATACAATACAGTATGTAATTTGTAATATGACTTGAGAATAAAAGGATAAGCTGTATTCTTGTGAGAGCTTTCAGCAAACCAGCTTACAACAGGGTCACTATAACACACTACAGTATTTACTATGAAGATACCTTCATAACAATGTTATTTATTATCTTTGAGTGCTACATGATGACTCAATTTGGCTACTGGTACACTTAGACAACTAATAAATGAATAAACCAGGGCATATGCAGATGCATAATACTGTACACAACAATATTACTTATTAAGTGATGAGAAATACACTACAATAGTATTTATTAAGTGGTGATCAATACACTACCATAGTATTTATTAAGTGGTGATCAATACACTACCATAGTATTTATTAAGTGATGAGAAATACACTACAATAGTATTTATTAAGTGGTGATCAATACACTACCATAGTATTTATTAAGTGGTGATCAATACACTACCATAGTATTTATTAAGTGGTGATCAATACACTACCATAGTATTTATTAAGTGATGAGAAATACACTACAATAGTATTTATTAAGTGGTGATCAATACACTACCATAGTATTTATTAAGTGGTGATCAATACACTACCATAGTATTTATTAAGTGATGAGAAATACACTACATAGTATTTATTAAGTGGTGATCAATACACTACCATAGTATTTATTAAGTGGTGATCAATACACTACCATAGTATTTATTAAGTGGTGATCAATACACTACCATAGTATTTATTAAGTGGTGATCAATACACTACCATAGTATTTATTAAGTGGTGATCAATACACTACCATAGTATTTATTAAGTGGTGATCAATACACTACCATAGTATTTATTAAGTGGTGATCAATACACTACCATAGTATTTATTAAGTGGTGATCAATACACTACCATAGTATTTATTAAGTGGTGATCAATACACTACCATAGTATTTATTAAGTGGTGATCATTACACTACCATAGTATTTGACTATTAAGTGGTGACTACCATGGTGATCATTACTACCATAGTATTTATTAAGTGGTGATCATTACACTACCATAGTATTTATTAAGTGGTGATCAATACACTACCATAGTATTTATTAAGTGGTGATCAATACACTACCATAGTATTTATTAAGTGGTGATCATTACACTACCATAGATCAAGTGGTGATCAATACACTACCATAGTATTTATTAAGTGGTATTTATTAAGTGTCAATACACTACCATAGTATTTATTAAGTGGTGATCAATACACTACCATAGTATTTATTAAGTGGTGATCAATACACTACCATAGTATTTATTAAGTGGTGATCAATACACTACCATAGTATTTATTAAGTGGTGATCAATACACTACCATAGTATTTATTAAGTGGTGATCAATACACTACCATAGTATTTATTAAGTGGTGATCAATACACTACCATAGTATTTATTAAGTGGTGATCAATACACTACCATAGTATTTATTAAGTGGTGATCAATACACTACCATAGTATTTATTAAGTGGTGATCAATACACTACCATAGTATTTATTAAGTGGTGATCAATACACTACCATAGTATTTATTAAGTGGTGATCAATACACTACCATAGTATTTATTAAGTGGTGATCAATACACTACCATAGTATTTATTAAGTGGTGATCATTACACTACCATAGTATTTATTAAGTGGTGATCAATACACTACAATAGTATTTATTAAGTGGTGATAAATACACTACACTAATACCGGTATTTATTAGGTGATGTTAAGTACACTACTGTACTGTAATGTACTAATTTATTAAGTGTTGAAGACAGCTGTTCGTGGAATCATGAGTGGTCAACGAGCTAAGCCTATCAGCTGTTTGGCTTTTGTAAACAAACTATTCATGGTGTTGAGTGTGGGATTTTTTTTTCAAGAAGGTTGATTTTTTTAGGATAATATTTTATGAACCTGGCACCAAATGAACCTAAATGATATGAGAATTATGGTGAAAATGCATAAAGACATGTTAAAGGGACCTTGGGGAGAGAGGGGGAAGTAGCCGCCCACCCTCCCCTCTGCCTACTGCTCCCAGTTACACACTTGTCTTCCACATACAATATACCTCTACTCTTATTTGTTCTTAGTATCTTTATAGTACAGTACTGTACAGTATGCAGTTTTCTCTTTATTCATAAGACAAATTCTTTGGTTACTTACATATAACGCTTTACAGTACATAACAATCATCTCGATGAAAACAGTTGTTGACAACCAGACTTATGTCTGTTTCATATTTTTTTTATTATTGTTGATGTAATAGTCTTTTAATACTGTAACCTTGTTATATGCTTAACGAACTTAGTTGTTGAAATGCAGTAATAGCATAACAACAACTTATTTTCTTGAAACAGTTCCAATAAGTGAATATATGGGGCAGGGGCCATATATTCGCTTTTTTCGGACTTTCGCATTTTTCGGACTGGGGTTTGCCCCAATTAGTCAGATTTATCGAGTTTTTACTGTACTGAATTTATTTATTTATTTATTTGTTTGTTTATTTATTTATTTGTTTGTTTATTTATTTATTTATTTATTTATGTTATGTATGTACGTACAGGTTTTTATTTATTTAATTATTTATTTAATTGTGTATATATTTTTGGCTGGTAAGTATCTTATAAAACTTAAATAATTTGATAATAACTGGCATTCTCCCTACAGGTGTTCATCGGAAGTCTTCCCGTGCTGTTGCTATTAAAGTTATTGACAAGTTAAGGTTTCCTACGAAGCAAGAGGCAGCCCTCAAGAATGAAGTAGCTATCCTGCAGAATCTTAGTAATCCGGTAAAGCCATTTATTTATTACAGATCAAATAGATATGAATCTTAACTTTTGTATCACTAAGTTCAGTATTTGTAATTATCCTCCAAGACTTGGCATTTTACCTTGGCTCAGAGCCTTTATCTTACTGCTATAAATTTTCTGTACATATTATAGTATAATTTTTTTTTATATGAAGCTTTACAATGGTATCAGACAAAATTCTCCTTCATTGGTAATGTATTGTTACCTGGATAGAATGATACCTACGAGATGCTGTATCAAAATTTGTGGTTCATGAAAATCCTCAGACTTTTGGGCAGATATATAAATAAAGATGTGACTTGTGGATAGAACCATTCTAATCCAGCAGGGTATAATTTTTAATGGGGGATCCTGGAACCTTGTTCATAGTGGACAGATGGTAGTGTGGTAGTGAAGGAAACACGACTATGAGATAGAGCTTTACTCCTGACTTTTTGTCACAAGAAATTTTCAAAGGAATGAATACACAGTATGGGTTACTGCCATTTATACACAGAATTTGTACCACGGTGGTGGGGAGGGCTAAGTCACGTCTCTCCGTTGGTCATTTGGTGTCACTGTTGTCTTTTTTCTCTTCCAATCATGTGGCGCTATCTTGTGTAACTGTTGTCCGTTTTCTCTGCCAATCACGCGCTGCCATCTGGATCGCAGTGTGCAACCAGATCACCCAGCCTGCTTTGGTGCTGATGTTCGGATGTAGTGTGGTGAAAGCTGCTCCCAGGGCTTTTCTGGTCTTCTTGTTCATGCCCTGTGTAAGACATGGACACCTTCCCATCTAAGCAGATGTTCACCTTCAAGACAGCCATCATGTCAGGAACCAAGATTGGAGACATAGACGGAAAGATCAGACAAACACCAATAGCATTGCATACAGTACAGGAAAGCCTCCAATAATGACGGTTCTACTAACGACAATTCATATTTAAGACCCAGGCTAATTTAGGACCCACTTCAATTTATTCCATTATTTTCCTCATATTACGACGAAAATAGAAAAAATAAAATAAAAAAATAAAAAAATACATTTTCATATTAATAATAACTCGATCCCGATATGTTTTATATAAAAAAAACCACGCCTTGCACACGGAAGCTGCTGGGCTTGTGAGTAGTGACGCCAGCATCACTAGTATAAACAGTCGCAGCTGGGGGGCCCTTTGTTTTCACGCATCTGAACAGGAAAAGGAGAAAAACTTTCTCCGGTTTCTTATGGCACTTTTTGCGTCCCTATGCAGCATGAGCAAGAGAGCAAGTGCTGGTTCAAAAGCTAAAAGAAAGTGTATAAACTTAGACGAGAAACTAGATGTGTTAAAATGACATGAAGAAGGTGAGAGAGGTCTGGATATTATAATAATGGAACAAGCAATTAACGTATTTTCTGAAGTTCATCCATTAACAGAACGAAGCATTAAAATTAACATGGATATGAAAAATGCAAATGACCTCTACATAAAGAAGTATAATGAGAAAAGAAAGCAACTGTGCAAGGTTCTTTCAACAGATTTATTATTCGAAGGCCTAAACCATCAACTTCAACTACACCATCAAATTCAGCAGCAGAAGCAGTTTCATCAACAATTTCAGGTTCAGTAACAGTTTCAGCATCAGCTTTAAAAAGAGCTACAGCTTCAGCCAGAGTTGAACCTACAGCTTCAACCAGAGCTGAACCTGGATGACTTCATCATTTGAGCAAAAACTCACACAACATCATTGGCTGTCCTTATGTTTTAGGCTTTACCACAATTGGTGAGTAGAATTTTTTTTTTACTCACTTTTTTGGAGATATGAAAGCTTTCCCCACTTATACGAATTTGGGTCCGGGCAAACATTCAAATCGTGCACCGAGAGTCGGCTGGCACAGCCATCTTGGGGAGAGATGCACAAAGTAAGACTTACTGAGCCCACCCCCTGTTCACAACCTTGTGATGATGAGCTCATACATAACTTAATGTACCAAAGTTATACAGTATTTTATTAATTTTTTTTCATGTGTTAGGTAGTAAGTATGGAGATTATGGGAGAGGCAATGAGGTGTTCGGCCGAGTTACTATATGAGTTGCCGTATTGTTATTTTTCAACTTGTATTTTCTGTTAGATGTACATTTTTTTTTTACTTTGTTACATGCACACTCAATCTTCATACAGAATGTGCCCCCCAAAAAATATGTAAAATAATTATTGTAAGGTCAAAAACATAAAGGAATTAAACATTGTGTGTAAAAGCAAGCACTGAGGGAGGGAGCAGCGACGGCTGGTATACCCTCACCCTCACCACTGCTTGCTGTCTCCCTTTTTTCTGCCAAATGGCAATGCAGTATTTTTTCTTTTATTATTACAATAGAAGTCCAAAAATCCGGACTGCTTGGGGATTGGGTCTTTTCGGATTTTCCGGATTCTCAGGCAGTACAGTACTTTTAAAATTCAAATTTCAGGAGAAATAAAGAAGAGATGAACAGGTACATTTTGATAGTTTATTCATTAGCAAATATAGAATGCTTCATTTATCAAAACAAGCAGTTTTAAAGATAAAGCTGTGAATTCTAAAATTTTATTCTTAGCCTTTTTTATATCATAAATTGTAGACTTTCCAGTGTCGTATGTTTCCATTAGAACAGTATTGCTCACACCACGTTCTAGTTTCTTAATTATTTCAAGTTTGTCTCTCAATTTCAACGTGTTCTTTTTTCTCTTCACACAACGAAGTTTATCTACTTTAGGAGCCATTATTATGGGCTTGTACAGTACTCTGTAAATGGAAAGAGTAGGACTCAAAATTACATACGTTGTCACAGTTTGATTGCTCGTTTTAAAGTGGTGACCGCGTGGTCGCTTGTTGTCACTGTGCAGCTGTGGCGCTCACGCATGCACACATACACAAAAGCCAGCTAAAAAAAAAAAAAAAATAGAGTTTGAGTTTTCGAAAAGTCCGGATTCTCGGGTGGTCCGGATTTCTGGCATCCGGATTTTTGGACTTTAACTGTATTATAATTCTTTTTCCTCACATTTAACTGGTACAATATACAAGTACAGGTTGTACCTCTCTAGTCCGGCATTCTGTGGTCCGGAAACTCCCGTGGTCCGGAACGACTTTAGTTTGTCCATTAGGTAGATAGGAAGCTTTTTTCTTTTTTCTTTTTTCTTTTTTTTTTACTTATCTGAATTATTATTATTATTACAGGAGTATTAAATTTTTGCCCCTCAGACCCCAATGTGGGTCAGTGACCTATGCCCGGGTGGGCTAATCCCCTTAAAAAAAAAAAGCCGCGGGAAATTAAGGTTTGTTTACATCCGGCAGTTCGGCTGCTCTCTCTCTCTGCTTGTCTATACAGAGTACAACATTTAACCCTTCAATATTTATGAGCAGTAAATAAGTGTTGCTTTCATATTCTTATGAAGAGTAATGACGATATGTTTTCACATGTGCGCACTTATATACGCGCAGTCTCACTCTTTTTTTTACCATTAATGGTTAGCTACTTATATTGTTCCATTTATTAACATTAAATAACATTACAGGTACTTCAAACAACCATATTAATTTTTTTACATTAATTTTACTACAGCTAAAATCAGGGTCTTATTTTCTTCAGTTTTATATGTAGAACCAATCAGTCACTGGTTAACATAAACAATGCCTGCAGCCGTCTCGTCTCCTCTAATATTCCACGTATTATTAATAAATTGTATTGTTAATTTTGCACACACAAACATTAATTCAATAAAAACAAATTCAGAAACATTAATTAAAATATATATGAACAGTATATAAATGTTGCTTTCATATTCTTATGTAAAGTAATGACGATATGTTTTCACGTGTGCGCACTTACATACGCGATCTCTCTTTTTTCTTTACCATTATCGTTAGCTACTTCTATTGTTCCATTTATTAACATAAAATAACATTACTTAAAACAACCATATTAATTTTACTACAGCTACAGCCAGTCACTGGTTTTGTAATCAATGAAAACAATGCTGTGTCATTTCCTCGTGTGTTTTAATATTCTACGTATTATTAATGAATTGTATTGCTCATTTTGCACACATAAACATTAATTCAATAAAAAAGACATTGAGTAAAAAACAATAATGAATCTTTTGTACATAAGAGAAATGACGCTTTTTACACGATTATGCACGTCGTCGGGTCGTTCAAACCCGTTGAAATTCAAGTTTCCGCCGTCAAAATTTTTATTTATTTATTTTTTTGTGTGTTCCAATAAAATACGTTAAGAATTAAAAACTCGCGAAATTTGAGAAGCTACTATACGACATTTAACCCTTCAATATGTCTTCAAAGAGACCATGATGCAGAGAAAGTGGTGCTAGTGCTTCCAAGCATAAGCAGAAGTCACTATCTATCCAGGAAAAGGGTGAATTTCCATGGTCCGGCACCGGTCAGGTCCCGAGGTTGCCGGACTAGGGAGGTACAACCTGTATATTATTTTATGTACAAAGAATAAGTTCTTCCACACACAAACCTCCCATGCATCCAGCCCACAGCACAGTTTAGGCAGTCAGTCACCCAGTTGACTCACAGACATATGGCGGCCGCTATGGTGAGTGTGTATGCCATGATGTCACGTCGGGAGGGAGCCCAGCCATATATTTATAACCCAGTAACCCATCGCCTCATAACACATTTGTTTCCTACATGCGCTCTTCATTTTTCTTATTTTATAGTTTTATAATATATTTTATAATATATTTTATAATATAGTTTTATAATATATTTTCCATTTTTCTAAGCCACATTAGAGTATTTTAATTATTTTTCAACAACATTTATAGTTTCATTACCTGTATCAATAAACACGGCTGGTGACTCAGAGACGTAGTTATAGCCTACCATCTACATACACTCCCATGCTCTTCATCTTTCTTATTTTATTGTATTTTATTTATTTCTGAGCCACATCATTATATAGAATGGAATAATTGTTAAAGAAGTCAATTTTCTGAGACGTGCCGGGAATCATCTGGCACAGTCATGTTGGTAAGAGTGCAGACTGTTCTCTCATAAGGTAATGTATCAAAGTTAAAAGGTATTTTATTAATTTTTTCAGGTGTTAGGTAGTAAATTATAGTAGTTTTAAACTAATTATCATTAGTTATGTAGGTTTTCTTCTTGTCTGTGAACTTATTTCGTGGTTTTGGGGTATTTTTGTCATTGGGGAACCGAACCCTATTTTTTCCATATGTTCATCTATTTGTATTAGTGAAATTCAAGTAATAAATGTTGTTTTTTTAACCTCGCCTTTTTGTATCTTGTGGTACCTGTATTTTAAACATCAATTATGCTTTCACATGAGGGCAAAACAGGGCTGTGGAGTCGAAGACAAAACCTTCGACTCCGACTCCTCAAATTTTTATGCTTCCGACTCCGACTCCGACTCCGACTCCTTGGCCTATTTGTAACAACTATTTCTACCATCCTAATTGTAATTTGTATGTTGTAACCTGCGTAGGTAAAAAGTAAAACACCGTGGCTATACTGCTACAGCTTTATTAATGATCTGGACGATATTTAAGAACTACAAAAAGATGATAGGCTTGACTTTGAAAAATAAATTTATTAAGAATTCAAGATATTAACTAGAAAACACCATTTATATGTATATCTAAAAGTTCGATCTCAGCATATGAATTTTGTTTAAGCTCATAATCTGATGTGGATCTAAATGATGATCCTACAATTCCTTTTAAAGTAAAGTTATATATTTATGTACATTAAAGAAATGAATACCTTATTAAGGAAAATGGATAAACCTTACATGATTAAGTTATTAAATTAAATTTGCCTTAATCTCACCAAAAACAGGTTGTAGCTAATTGTTTTGTAGCTGAGAGCCTCTGTGCAGTTTTCAACGAAACAAAATTTGATATAATTCAAAATTTCAAATGGTAAAGAAGAGACTATCGTCCAAAATTATAGTGCTATACTGTGCCTGCTACAATAAATTCATAATAATGCTTATAAAATGGAAATAAATTCTTTTAATAATTTAAGAAAATTAGTGGGATCAGTGGAATCACTGCAATGAATATGCCTGAGTTCATATATTTGTTCTTAGGAACAGAATAGCTTCAGTCAGATCTTGCTTCATGGAAGCCCTTAAATCTGATCTGATTATTTTCAGTGCAGAAAACAGTCTTTCTACACTGACCTGAGTGGGTGGCATTGCTGTCACAGCTCTAGCTACATCTTTTACAATCTCTGGGTAAGCAGGTATGGCTTCTTCCACTGTCACGTTTGAAGACCGGTCAAATTTCTCCACTTCCATCAGTGCACCAAAGAAATCTTGCTGAAATCTCGTATTTTTAATGTCTACCGCTGCTGCGGTCGGAGTCGGAGTCTGGACAATTTTACCGACTCCGACTCCGACTCCGACTCCACAAGCCGAAATTTCCTCCGACTCCTCGACTCCGACTCCGACTCCGACTCCGACTCCGACTCCACAGCCCTGGGGCAAAACTTAGATTTTGTTCAAATTTCATACAACTATAGTCAATTACATGCTGGTTAGGGGTCTGGGTACAAAATAGTAAAATTTGTGTACAGTACTCATTAATTTTTTTAATCTTTATGTAAATTTACTCATCTTCTTTACAGGGTGTCGTCAACTTGGAGAGAATGTTTGAAACTCCTGAGAGAATTTTTGTTGTAATGGAAAAGCTGAAGGGAGACATGTTAGAGATGATATTATCATCAGAGCGTGGCAAACTCTCTGAACGCATCACCAAATTCATCATATATCAGGTAACATTAAATATTCATTATGGCATGAGGTTATTGGAAGTAGGAAGATATGCTTGGACACACAGGAGCCAAACATGGTTTCGTGTCTCCCACTATTTCTACAGAGTGAGATATGAAAATTATTGGGCATCATTGTGTCTTATGCACATATGACTTTGTAAACATGATACTGTACAGGGAAATCAAATAAGTATCTTAACATACAGTATTTACTAAACTTGGGCTGTAGATATATCAAAACAAGTTTAAAAACACTTAGGTTTTGAAGTAATTCAGTAATCTCCCTTTACGGGGAATCCCTGGTTCCCGGAACTCTTCACTTAGTGGAATGGAAAGCAGCCCCGAATTTTTCCGGAAAAATTTTCTCAATTCTGGGCCTGCGAAGAAAGGTTCCAGGAGTTCTGAGAAATTGCATCATGCTCCGCCGCGTCACCATGTGCCACCTGCGTGGGTGGGAAAAAAAGCTTGGGTAACTTGAGCCATAGTCTCACGTGCTACTATTGGCTAATACTGGCATGTGACTCCTTAGGATGTCTGTTATAGGCTTATGCATCTCTCAGCTTATTCCCTCTAAGCCTAGCATCATGACACACTTAGTTCATAGGCCTCTGCTATTGTTAAAGGTTGATCCCTAGTTTGCTGCAGTTTTTGCAAAAATTTGCATTCTGCAGTACAGAAATACCTAGTTATTCACAACCCCCACTTATCTGCAATTGTGGCGCAAAAAAAAATACGCTGAGTGTTCTAGAAATTTTTATACTGTACAGTCAACCCTCACTTTACGCAGTTAATATAACCCACAGGGTACCGCGGAAAGTGAGAAACGCGTAAAGTGAACAACATAACATATGGGATTAATTGAAATAGAGACCGGGCCGACCCCCAAACTCCACTTTTTGACGACACACAACTATGTTGTAGTAAAAATTTTATCTTAACTTTATGATGGTATGCACAAACAATTAATATAGAAGAGGTTAGGTTAGGAAAAATAAAGGTTAAGTTAGGAAAAATAAAGGTTAGGTTAGGAAAACTAAAAGTTAGGTTGAACACTTACGTTAGTAGAAGAGATGGGTCAGCATACGGGGATGGAGGCTGGTTCCGAGGCAGAGGGCAGGCTACTGGCCCTCAGGTGAGTCACCATCACTGTCATCCACACTTGTCAGGGCCTCCCTGACAAATCCCTCAAAGTCATCTTCACTGTCTCTACCTCTGTCACCATCACTGGCTTCGGCTGGCTGTGGTGGGTTGCGGGCGAAGAACTCTGTTATGCTTTGCTGACGGCTGGTGTTTATGTTGTCGTGATAAACCTTGAAGTAGGGCTCCATAGTCTGCAACAGCTGGGTAGTGAAGATTTCATACCTGTTTGCGTCAGGGTCGTCGGAAAGGAGGAGCTTGATTTTCTCAACACACTCGATGTATAACTTCTAACATACACCGTTGAAACTTGATATATGAGCAAGGTTGGTGTAATGGGACTGCTCAGGCGGCTAATAGGCCTGCTTCCCCATGCTTCTCCATTCTTATTTTCTTATGTTAATTTATTTCTTTCAACATTCTGTATAGAGTCGGCAGCCTCGGGTAGTATCATATTTAAATCTTTTCGATGGTGCCAACTGTTGAAAAGCCATTATTCAGGTTATTACCTATTTTCAGTCGCACATTGCCAGCTCACCCAGACCTGGCCAAATATCCAATCTTTTTCTCATGTTATAGTTTGAAACATTTGAGCAGAATCCCTTGGGGGTTTGACCTCTGCTTCCCTACACCTTCCTTCAGTTTATTATTCTTCTTTGCTTTTTCTTAACCCTGCACCGGCCAATACCTTTTATAATAATCTTGTGGAAAAACTCATCATCATCCTCCCACCTATAGCCTTTTTTTTTGTCCAATAATATTCTTAAATAATTATTTAACTACCAGTCATTGTTGTTAGATCCAGCTTTTGGTAGTATGGCAGGTTATTTGCCCTTTGTGCATTAAGTAACCTGGCTTATTTAAATTGTTGTGAACCCGTCAACCCGTGATCAGGTCATCCTCAAACTGTTGTGGTCTCCAGGTAAGGTGAGGTCGCCCCTCAGGCATTGTGTGAGGTCACCTCATGTGAGGTCATGTAATCCACCCCCAAGTGTGATACCCTTTCTCTTGCTGCCCCCGGCAAACTGTCAAAGTTTATTCTTCTGATATATCTGGTACTTTAGTGTAATTTTTCTTGTTGCCCCCTGAAATTTAATTGGAATCTTATTTTGTGATCCTGTTATAAAAGTTTGTTCCCACCTCGACATTATTAGTAATGAGTTTTTCTGTTTGTCAAACTAAATCGAGTATGGTATTAACCCGAGAGGGTTCGGCTAGTTATTTAGGAAACAGTCCTGGATTTTCCTTGTTTCAAGAAAACTTTCTGATTCTGATTCCTATAAGGTCAATCCAATCTATTTGGTTAAAGAAGGTCGCCTATACAGACTTTACTATGTATGGAAGCCCTGGCTCATTTCATCCCAAAAAGTCGCTCATTAACGCTATCAAGATTACGAGGTCCATATAGGTTTCCCAGGATTTATTATTTTTTCCTCACCATCGATTACTTAACCAAATTGTTTCTGTTTTCCCCAGGCTTCCTTATTTTTTCACACTTCAGATTATCCCTGACATAGATTGTTACTCTGCTTCCTTTCTAATCTGCCTATCTGTATGGGAATAATTTGTAACCCAATTCTAATATTCGACAGTAACCTGTAATGTCAGTCTAAGTTTATCCATGTTTCGGTGAATGCTATTATATCGATTTTTTTCAACATACCACCCTGTGGATTTCATCCATTTTGCTTTCTATACTTCTATCTGTCACATGAGTAGCTTATATTTTAGTTAGTCGTGGTTCGAAGTTGTTCTTTTGTCATTGCTTAGGTTTTAACTCCTGCTCTAATTTAGTTTTATATCATAATTTCAGCACCATTTCCTGGTAACCTTTCACTCTTGTTACCTCAGCCCCACTGCGCCCCTACACCCCCAAGGCTCATATGTTCTCATAGCAGTTAAAAAGAGCCATTATACTATCAAATTTGAAGGATCACAGATAACGAAACACATTGTTACAATATCTACTTATAAATATAGAGCTGGAAAATGGACCACACAGCAAAGATTGGTTAGGGTTAGGTTAGCCAGGCTAGGCTAGGCTATGCAGGTCAGAATCTCACCTTAACCTGTAGGTATATATAAGACAATTCACTCTTTTCCTACAGAGAGTCGGGTGTGGGAGGACGAGGATGTCTGATGCAGTTGGTCACCGTGAGAACGCTTCTGTCAAAACCTTCCGTATCCGCTTTTGATATTGTCAGAATCTCATCCGAAAATCCATATCAGCGTTAGGAGTATAACAAATGCCCAGCATTCTATAATTTTATACATTTATTATAATAGTTAATAAATTCCTTAACTGACTATGGGTTTTCCCCATGTTATTGCATCATACCGCATGACCGCTGTCCTTACGACCACATGGTCACTGTGCTTAGGACCAGCATGGGGCTTAGACAAGGTGAGGCGAGGTATTTCATCATCTGCCGAAAGTCGCGGGCACAGCCGCTTTGAGTTGTTAGAGATAACGCATTTGTTGTTGCAGTAACTCCAATAAAGAAGTCTGACTTTTCCCCGCCGAAACTCATCATGAAAAGCAGTATTTGTAAGTTGAAGTAAATTAGTCATTATCTATTTGGTATATGCTAATGGTGAAGCTTACGTACAGCCAGACTGGCATGATCCAGGGTGCGCCTCCGGGCTGTCCTCTCCGGGCTCCTGCCCCAGGTTGGCCTCTCTCCTGCTTGAGCTACCGTGGTGGGGCTACAAGGTTGTCCTTCCTGGTCCGGGAGGGATGTTAGCCATGAGTTAGTGGTACTCATGCCACCACCAGTAGTGGGAGTGCATGAATATTTTATGTCTAGTTCTTTCCTATTTACCTAGGTGTTTCTGTTGGTCCTTTCATTCCAGAATTTTATTCTTCAGCCATGATTATGCCGTGAAAACCCAAAGAGAGTCATAAAGTCTGTCTATAAACTTAAAGCTAGACATAGCAGCAGCACTAATGTCCAGCCTGCATCTTTGGTGATACAAGCTTGGGAGAGAGACGAGGGTGGGGGATAGAGGGCCATTCAATTCAGATTTTTTCCTCTGATCAATAACGAATTAAAGCTTCATTCTATACAGCCTTGGAATAACCTATTTTTTATTAATGTAACATGTTTTTTCACTGTAACTTTGTAAATTTTTCAGTAAAAAATGAGTAAAATAGTAGCATTATTTATAACCAGTAACAGTAGCATATCTTGGTAACAATTCTGCTGGTTGCATCAAGGACAAGGAAATACTAACAGAAGGCAAGGTGTAAGTGACGTCATGGTACAGTAATACCAACATTGGGGTGTAGGTAGACTTAGTGGAGCCACATTTTACCGTGCTGCCAGGTGTTAAACCTCCATATATGACGTGCAGCCATGCATTTTAAAGAGTGATGAGAAGTTACAGTTCAGTGCATTAGGTTCCACGAGCAGGCTTCAATTAAAAGTAGTACACGGTTGGTCCGATGGAATACGACCAATAGCCTGGACATTCACATACCGGTTGGGTTTATGGATTGTTTTCACCCGATCTTTTCATATTTTTGCAATTTGGGGTCTCCATACTATTTGTATTGGCTTTACAAATAACTTATTTGTCTTCCATCTGTTGTTGTAACCTTTGCGCTGTGAGTTAAGCTCTTCTTCCTAAATGTCATGTTCCTGTACTGTTGAATACACATGGTTTCACCTTTCACGACGGAGGTGATGGAGTTCGGGTTGAGATCGGGGCAACCTGATATTCCGGGGGCACAAGACCTTGAAGAAAGAAGAGAGAGGTCGACTCATGCCGGAGGGAAAATGCCACCAATGCAATGAGGTGAGGTACGAGGGGCGAGGCTGTCACCTGCACCACGGTGATAAATATACTTTATGTCAACAACA